TCCCCTCTTCCTCCGCCCCTGCCGCTGTCCTTGGTGGCCTATGTCAAAACCTGCTTCTTTCGCCGCTCCCACAGATGGAAGGCATGGATAGGAGGCTGCAGCATGCGGTCGTCGCTTATGTTTGTGGTCGGAATCAGACCGACCACTGGAGTCTCTCCTGGAAAGATGCTCTACCCAGCGACTGAATCATGGAGTGAGCGTCGCGTCGGCCAAGTGCCAAGCCGGTGGACAACTTTCTTTTCGGCCTCGAAGGTATGGGTGGGCTGATGGTAACGCATGGTAGGGCATCCATTAACAGCCACGGCTTGCAGCAGCGTTGGATCGACCTTGAGCGCGTATAAACATAGATATAGCTTGGACTAGAAAATCTGATTTGTGGTTTGCGTCATGTCCCAACATCACCCACACCAAAGGACGGTGCGCTGCCTCCTATCTCCTTAGAAGTGAGCAATTTCTTTGATTACTTTCGATTGGAAACTGATTTGTGTCTTGTAGGAAGCAATTTTTGATGAAAGCTATATGTTCGGTCTCCATCCACCTCCCGCTGGCAGCATGGCTGGTCAGCCTGGTCACTCACATAAAAAATCCTCTGTAACTTAAGCACTCAGCACTGTCGGCAAGAATGTGTCCACATATGATGGATAGTTCTCATATCTCCCATCCGAATGATTTTGATTGCAAGCGCTAGATGGCGAAAAGTTCCTATTTTCAGATCTTGGAGTACTGTTTGCCCAGCGTCTGTAATGCTCTGCCTTTTGTCGACGGCTCTGAATATTTGTGTATGTCTTGCTGTGGCTCCCTGCTTGCTTACTAATCAATCCATCAGCTTTTTGAAACTTGGATAGTTGTCATTTTGAGGAGCTTCCTTTCATGTATCTTGCCAAAGTGGCACCCGTGAATGTTATTTCTCTCTATTAATCAAGAGTTAATTGTTCAGTGTAATCCAAACAATTTGTTTTTAAGGGTAAGCGTAGCTTTATAGATTAATGGTGCTTCTGAAATATTTTATTTGTCAGTAGGTGCTTCTCTCTGCATTTATAGGTAAACAAAATATTGGAGTAAGGGCTCACAACTGATTTAATAAAATCAATATCAGTTATGTATAGTGAAAGCCAGATCAATTTCTCAATTACTATAACCTTTTTTCTTAGATAGACCTAGCAGTTTGGATCCGATGTACCAACTTGTGGAATTATTCTCTATGATGAAGAGTTTGTTCAGTGGATTATTATCTTCTGTAGTTTCTATCTCTCAGTAAGATCCGTGGATAGTTATGCCAGTTTTACATCTAGCCAGACTAGTTGAATGCCCGTGCGTTGCCACGGGCCAATATAGATATGCTAGAGACATTATTGAAATGATTGTTCTTTGTATGAACACAAATGTCAAGCATTCGGTTTATTCTCGCTGAATATCGACGCCATTCTCCCTGTTTCCCTTTTCCACAACAACCAAGCATCCACTCCTTTTCCTCCCCATGGGACATCTCCTTCGCCATCGGGTTAAGGACAAGTTAAGTGTCTTTCTACCACTATCGCAACCTAAATGGTGTATCAGGACAAAAATACAAAAAATATAGTAAAAATTAAGATCTTCATTGTACTAAATAACACTGATAACCTGGAAGGAAAAACCGCAAATGATAGCTTGTATAGTATCATGTGCTGACACAGCGCCAACCCACTCCTCCTTGTCAACAGAGCATGTGAGACATCTTTCTCTCACACCAAATGCATCTCGTTCAAACTCCAATCCTCAAGGTCCGAATCTTTCCGTGTCAAGACACTAGATTTGGAGCTCTGAGTTGGGGATGATGTTTCTTTGGCCACCATCGTCTCCTTTGTCTCAGAGCGACCGGATGTAGTAGCGCACAACCGAGAGAATGGAAGTTCACAAGAGGCCATATATTGGTTAGGCTGCATGATATCAATTTTAGAATATAATCATATTTTCATCCTTCTCATTGCATAGAGGCAAACAAGATATGAATATCAGTTGAGAATACATCTTAGAAACAAAAGCATCAGCATATACAATAGATGACTTGTAAAATCAACATTGAGACACAACAAAACACCAGATGTGGAAATGGCGGAAAGAGAATCAGAGACAAATTCTATAACCAGGATAAAAAATAATAAAGAAGTACCTTTTACTTTGTCTAAATGGTAATTTTTTGGGTGCACCTAGGTCTCAGTCGACTCAGACTTACCCAAGTCTTAATCAAGTGATATAGTATATAAGAAGAAAAAAGAAGAAAACTGAAAATAATTTTTTGTACGAATCTCCATGCAAGATCAAAGTAATATAGCATCGATTGAGACATAACGAAGTCCCAGTCGACTGAGACTTAGCAAAACTATAATTTTTACTATGTTACACAAGAACCTCAAAAGCTAGATCACAGTTAATGGTTTTAGATAGGCAGCTGCATAATCTAAGGAAAAAGTGATTGCCATATCCAACAACACAAATAGAGAATAGTAAGAAGAAGCTGCATATAAGCTGGTATAAGAGTTTATCTTCTTAATCCAATGACAAAAGGAGAAACCTTGAATCAGATCACGTTTGTTTAGAATAAGGAACCAAAATGTAGATTTGTACCATTGAAATAGAACAATATCATAAAAACATGTCATGTGTCGAGAGCTACTTGTGTGTTTATATGTCTATCATCAATGCACCACTACAAGATGACAGTGGCCAATAAACATAACTTAAGCACAAGCATACATCATCAATGCATCAAGATATGCAAGTAAGCAAGAAACAAATGTCGTGTATTTGTCACGCAAGACTTCAGCTTATATGCTATAAATATATAAACAAATCAGTTGTTATCATGAACATAAAAGTCCATCATCAAGTCCAAGTCTCTCATTGTGACCAATACTGATAGGTAGAATACTATAGACATAGTTAACCATATAAAAAGATGGGGAATTTTCCTCGCTAGCTAGCCCTGTTTGTTCAAATGGGTCGACTGGTAGATTTATCGTCAATGATGCTAACCCACTTCGGCTTCTTTCCGTTATCGTTACTCAAATCATGAATATATTTTTCCTATTGCATCCCTTTCGAGCGTAAGAAAAACACTCCATTATTTACCTTTTAATAGTATTTCATTGCATCATTTACATCAAGTATAAGAAAATACAATGTAGTCAAATATAAGAAAATACAATGTAGCCATTTATTAGTTCAACAAGATTGTTTAATTGAGATTAAGCTTAGTGATATGACACAAAGATTCAACAAACTCAGTTACTGATACGCAAAATTATTTATGTGACAAAAAATATGTCTTAATTTCAACATTATTAAAAGGGAATCGCAAGATTATATGCGGTTGGCTACAACTGGAAAATAAAATAAAATAAAATAAGTAAATTACGTGGCAGAATCCAGATAAGGAAACTCTACAACCTACAACTTTATCTGAAACGTAGGTACTCCTACATCCACACTGACAAAACTATCTATTAACATAATTAGGAGCATCAGCAGATTTAGACAGCAGAACAGAGAAAATGAAGTGTCGCCATATGTACAAGATAGCAGCCGTTTTCTATCTATTATAAAAATTTAGAAAAAGGGATAAATTTTACCATGTGGCCCTGCACCCTGAACCTCTGCCTGGAACAGGAACTGTAGCCGTTCTCGTGCTCCCTTCTCATGCTCGACCCCGCAAGCTTGCCCGACCCTTGTCGTAGTACATCCTTGCGGCCACAGCAACCATGTTGTATCCACCCGCCCTGGCCATGCTGCTGAATGGTGGAATCGTAATAGTCGGAGGACAGCATGCCATCCTCCGATGTGACCTTGCGTGCCTGGAGTGTTTACGTGTCCCCTGCAGGTGTTGTTGCATGCAAGAGCAGTATAACTTCAATTCCCTTAGCCCTATTCATCCAATGCGTCCATCGGTGATACTTGCATTTTGCATTGATGTCGCTGAGAAAGCCACTCTATCTGGTCTTGCTGCGAGAGTGACAAATGCGAAATAGTTCGACTGATGCTGTTTGAAGTTAAATGGGAAAAATAATACCAGGTCAGCATGTGACAGAATGCTAATAAACACCTGTTGGAATCCTTTGAGGAACTTGGGAGGAATAAGGAAGATAATTTGTTGGAGGAATCATAGTAGAGTGAACTGTTGAGTCCTGCTTGTATTTAATTTTTCAGATCTTGTAGTCCTGCAAGTAGCAGACCTACATCAAAATCATCAGTTTTCAAAATCCGTGAAGCAAGACAATAATTCATATTATACAGAAGAAACCTTTGAAATATCACGAGATTGCTTTGTGGAAAAGCCTATTAACTAATGCATTTTGCTACCTCTAATCAATTTTAGCACAAGGTACGTATGGCGGCACAAGTCATTGTGAACCTAATATATAAATGTAACTGATCACAATCGGGAGCAATGTGATAATGTAAGTTACCTTGCGAGATAAACATGCTTCATGTTGACTGCCTTGCTCTTTGCAATATCATCTTCTAAGTCAGCGAATTGCCTCTAGAAATTGTCAACATCACTTCATAGCAAAAAAAATCAAGAACCAATGGCAGAAGTTGTGAATGTTGCTACATAAACAAAATAAAAGAGAAAAAAGTTTACAAGCATGTCACAGAAACCTGGCATATAGAAAGCTCATTTTTTCAAAGCCGTTCATGTAATCCTTGAGAAGCTGAGGGTGGTACTCCAATATCTCCCGAAATATAAGTCCCATTATGTGTTATTTGGTAAACTTTTCTTTGTTCAAGCTCAAACTCAATTTACAAAATTGGTTACATAATGGTATTCACTTTAGTTTAGCTAGACCCTTAAAAGGGAGATAAACCATGAATATATGATTTTGTAACGTAAATACAAATTGATGCAAACTCGAGGGATCATTTAGAACCTGACGAAGAAAATGAGATGCGTACCGCTCGTGTATATCTGCTCGGCCCTACAACCTCAAGCACCATTTCTTGCTTGTGTGCTGCTCAAGAACCATTTATTGCTTGTCTGCCGATGGCCCTGCTCCAATAGCTATCAGTCACCACGCAGAACGACAAAAATATGGTCGTGTCGCGGTACAATGCCACCACCTCGCTCACCGTGTTTTTTCCCAATGTCGCCCTGGCTTCCACCCTTCCTCCCCGTCCACCCATCCCGATATTCATGATGGTACCGCACCAGCTCAAGCCGACAGCCACCCGCGGGCGTCCTATCCATTGGGATACCCCCTAATAACCTATAAAATCTGTAATTTGGATCTTAATGTAACTGAAGAACTTCGATACGTACAGAGTAACCGAAGCTACTTTAAGACACGATTTAACTTCAATACCTGATCATCCTTATTGGGAAATGAGATGGAAATAATTATAAGGCAATAAAATCACTTGTTCCAGGAACCAAAGACCAGGTCTTGCGCTCTCCATATCAGCAGACCAGGATTGATTGAAACTTGAGCTGTTTGAGTTGCAGTATCAACATCTATCTCACTCTCATCTTCGTAAAAAGGTAACATCATATAAATGTCAAAAATACTAAGCAAGAGAATACTCCAGTTCTAAATGTTTGAAGTGTATGGAATTAACTGGAAGAAGTCATAACTATGTCAGTTACCAATTAAACATCAGAACAAGCAGAACCTACTTGGCATAAACTTCAACAGTTAAACTCAATAATAGAACCGTTTGTACAGCACCACAATACAGTAACAGTTGCTTTGCACCAATGATCAAGATTATATGTATTGATTTACTTATCAAGCCAATCACTACTGTACCAGTAAGAAACCAAGACACATCTAAATAAATAAACAAATAGGAACAAAGAAGTTGAAGGCTGAAAATACCATGCTAGGAGCAAGGAGAGTCAGGGCAACAAGGGCAGTACATGTCAAATCTATCCAAAGATGGAGTTATAGGTTGCAAGCATACCTCGTGGCTGGGTGGGGCATGGCCGTCTCGGAGAATTATCAGAGGACGAAGCCCAAGCCGCTGTCAGAGAGGAGCAGGTTCGGCTTGAGATTGGGCCGCGTCTCCCTCTCCTTCCCGCCTTCGTGCTGCGCCTCCTCACCCTCCGGCGTCGCAACGAACTTGGGTGTCCGTCTCTGGTGGTAGGGCCGAAGTGGCAGGTGCGTACGATAGGGTTGGGGATTGGGTTGGACCGCACTTGTAGTAGCCCGTCGGCGTCGACAGCGCCATGGGTAGGGTGGGGAGCAAGGAGATGGATTTGGGAATCGTGGTGGCTCAGAGATCGATTGGGAACAATCAGGGAGAGAGAGAGAACCGACGATAGCGGGGACGACGTAGGAGTTTGATCAGAGGGAGGGTGCAGGGTTGGTCGCGGGAAAGAGGGAGAGATGAGGAGATGGGAGATGAGACTGGCAGGTCGTGGGAGAAGTGGAGGTCGTCAGAGTTTTTCTTCTCCTGCTTTTTCGGGAGTTTTTCTCCTTAACTTTTCTCTGCGTGGGAATCCAACGAGGGGAGGAGGGTCAAACGAGGTGGAGGTAGCGAAGGTGAGGTCGAACCATCGATCGAGGTTGAACCATCACGACGTTCGATTCTCCTTTAATAGTAGAGATATCTAGCCAGATAAGTGCTAGGAGCTATATGGCGTACTCGCAACTATATCACGGCAAGCATATATGAGTTACTCTACTTCCTATGTAGTATAGAATGCTGTAATGCCCATGTAGTGTGGGCAACGCTGCCTATTAATTAACACTAAAAAGATGTCCGGTGGAAGGTTTCTTTGCATTAGCTTATTCTAGGTGTTTTTTGGAATCTTGAACTGGTAGCAAAATATTTTGGATAATGTCCTCTTGATTTCTGACATTGAATAGGTATAAGTGAATACGGTCACATTTCTTTGCTATGCTTATCGATACAAGCTTTGGAATTTTGGACCATAATTGTCTTAGCAATGCCATTGGGGCATCAGCTCCCTATATTTTGTTGCGTGTATAATTTTCCTAAAATGTCATACTCTACTACAGTTTTCTTATCAGGAACTAATTGGGATTTTTTTATAAGTAGTTCTTCTATACAACTCTGGCCTCTACTACTTTTGTTGGTAGATTATCATCCTTCTCCTACGATGTTACACATTATACTATTTGAGCATTGCTTCCTTTGGTTGCATTGGTCAATTTTTATGGTCAGTGTTGTAACAAAGGACTTAAAGCTTCAACTGAAACCCAACTCTGACGATATCCTAGATACAAATTGCATTGGGATTTAGATCTACCCATTTAGAGTTTAACTATTTGTCATGCCTCTCATTGTTCCTTACTTTCTATGACCGTCCTCTTGAAATATAAACTGATCAGCTAACATCATGTTCATCTATCAAGAATGTACGCGTGTAATGTCTTCCATTATCCAAATGTAAAATTGACGGTGAATGAACATACTTAATACGCTTGGAAATGTCAAATATGAACACATATTCCATTGTTGGTCAACGCCTTTTTGTTTGATACCCATCATTCGGTCATTTTCATTTATACATAGTCTATCTCTGTTGATGTTAGTTGAGTTCATCTATTAAAGAGGTACTTAGGATTTAAGTCCACATGAAAACTGACTAGAAATAAGTAAATTTCAGACATTGATGATATGATTTTCCATGGCAAAACAAATATTTACAGAAAGTTGTACACGGATGTCCCGCATCAACGTGCGGGGAAATTATCTAGTTAATTAAGTAGCTAATACTAGCTAGCTACCACCTCTTTAATTCTAGTTTCAATACCATTATCATGCTTGATTAATTATTATCTGATTGAATTATTTTCTCATAAAGACCCTGAAGCAGATGTCGGGGACTGATTTATATGCATACTACGTTTGCGAGAACATTCACATGATGACGTCCGAAAGGACCAGAACTGATAGAGACCAATGGGTATGTTTGCCAGAACACTTTTCACAATTTTTACATAATTATCTAATATATATACACACAACTAATACATGCATATTGATCTCTTTCTTTAAAGATGAAGGAGATGCGGGATAAACTCCTACCATCAGCTCGCATACGAGCAATTTAAGAGGAAATAGTTGGGTTTTTGCTTGATCAGGTCATAGATCCCAAAGAAGAATACTATTACAAGCTATAATGCGTCCATATGTAATGATCTGCAGATTCTAGAAGAAATTGTATATACCAAATTATACACACACATACATGTGTACGTATGAATGGTCGTGTGAGACATTCGATGACATATATATAGGATCAGAATAGTTATTCGGATCACGGTCGGCGCTATATAGGCCCGAAGACACGTTCCCGAGCTCCCAAAACCCACGAAGAAAAAAACAAGCCCACTCCACGCCTCCTCGTCCACCACCTCGCCCGATCCCCAACCTCCGGATCTCCCCAGTCCCAGCGACGCCGAGCTCCCCCTGACCCCGCCTCCACCAGGCGTCGCCGCCCCCGCCCCCGCCCCCTTCAACTCCCGCCCCGCCGGCAAGCCGGGCGCCGCCATGCCCGCCCTTCCCTTTGACCGATCTCCTCCTTCCTCACCGTCGACGTCGTGGGAGCACCCATCCCGCTGCCCAGACCCTAGCCAGTGACGCCGCCACCGCTACGCAGCCGCAGCCACGCCCCTGTCGACGGCGCCGCCGCAGCCCCACCCCCGCCGGCGACGCAACCGCAGCCCCGACCCCAGCCGATGACGCGCAACACCACCTGCCAGAGCACCTCGTGGAAGCCCGATCCAGCGAGGATCCTTCACCACCCTCCACTCTCCGGTGACCACCAGCCCGCGTGCGGATGGTGTGCTATCCTGCAGATCGAGGAGGCGTCGAACTTCAGATGGAGGAGGCCACAACCTGCAGCTGGCCGCGCCATGGTTGCGCGTCGCCGGCATCCTCCGTCACGCTCGGCACCTCCTGAGCGTTGGAGTGAAGGTCGACTCGTATGCACTCTGCAGTTCATTTTCTACTGATCCTGTAGCGCCTAAATCCATCGCGCACTTATATCGCAAGGTTCTTGCGTGTGTGTTTTGTCCTGCAGGGCATTTTCTTCAGGGCAGTGGAGAGCACCCTCACCCTGATCCCATCTGCAGCAGCGCCCCGAGTCCTCCCAAAGCAGCCTTGAGCCGTTCAAGTATGCAGCCCCGGGCCGTTCAACGACGGAGCTGCCGACCGTTCGTGAACACAACACCCCGGATCCTGCTGCCCACCATCCTGTAAAGGGAGACTTATTGTGAAGACTTCAAACTGAGTACAGAAGACTCGATTAATTTTTGCTCCCTTCTTGAAAGGAAGAGGGGAGTTGGTTCTCTTTTGAGGTTGCGACTCGATTAATCGATTAATTACAGCTTATTTTCGACCTTCCTGTGCTAGTAGATCTTTTCCCAATTCTGATCTTCTTTCGGTTGCTGTTTGGATTTATTCCCTTCGCTCTTCTTCGACCGCGCTCATAAATACGGCCTTGTAATCTTGTGGAAAGGAGCAGTGCAGTGCATGTGAATACATATGGCCTGAAGCTGCTATAATTGTCCAAAATCCGGTGTTTGCTACTGCAATCCGAGTGAAGTATATTTGGAAACATGCCTGCCTCGAGTCTTCTACTCTGGTATGCTCGCATCACACAGTATGACAGTATACTACACAAAATAGCATGGGAGTGATTCCTGCAAAAGCTCAAATTCTGCTGACAAGTTGTGTGCTGCGTTTGGCACTTTTCAGTCCTGAACCAGCAGTCCTCGAGGCAGGATGTACTACTACCTGGACTCATCTGCCCCGGAGGCACAACACGAACCAAGCCCCATGTTTTTCAGTGACTGACTCAGTAGTCCTTGATGGTCGAACATCCGGCAGGTAGCCCGTACTGCACCACCATATCTTGCCATCTTATGATCCCAGCAAAATGTTGAAGTAAAACACACACCACCAGGAGGAGAGTATATGTCAAGGAAGGACTGGTGAAATAGCAGGGCAAAGATGCCACAGTAATGCTGAGCCGGAGTGGTAGCGTGTGTGCGAGAAGACTCGTTTGTTTGGGTTGGGGAGCCAGCCGAGCCAACGCACACTTGGTGGACAGTCTATCTGGTTCGTACGCCCGGCCATGATATTGTGTCCGAAAAGAAGACTCAAATGGGCACGTTCAACTACTGTGTCCCCAGCCATGAAAACTTGTGGCCCGTCATGGTCTCCTCACACCTAAACGGCTGCCATTTTTCTATTAGTGAAATTTCCTCTGTTTTGGATTTATGGAGATGGAACAGATCACTGTTTAGAGTTTTGTTGGTACGCTGTTGCTGCAGTTTAAAATGACAGAGAGAGAGATTTCTTTTAAGAGATGAGCGCTGCTGCCGTCCTTAGTTAAAGAAATGAGAAGAGAGAGAGAGAGAGAGAGAGAGAGAGAGAGAGAGAGCGCATATAGGATATAGTGGGTGTGTGCTGGATAGAAACCACTAACTTTAGAAGAAAAAGTATTTCTTTATCTGGCACTTAGTGGGTGTGTCTTTCTCTGAATAGTGGGTAGTGCAGGCATATACTATGCTTTGCCTGTTTCATGTCCTCTTCAATTGGTAAATTGTTGGTAGTATGTTACATAGCGCTTTCTTGCATGTATTGCCGCTAGGAAGTTCAAAGAACAGTTACATAGCGCTTTCTTGCATGTATTGCCGCTAGGAAGTTCAAAGAACAGAAAACTTAAAGTTCAGGTATGAAACCACACAAATTTCATAGAAGAAAAAAATACGTACAGACTGGAAAAGTTCACGAGAGAAACACAGAAAGTTGAGAAACAAAAAGCCAATAGTTCATTTTCGAGAAAAAGTGAAGTTCAAAAAAAAAGAGAAACATCACTAAAAAATCAATGTGCAAAAAAACATACCAGAGATTTTAGAGGAAAAAACTCAAGAATTTTGTGGGTATACCTAAAAGATTCTATACTATGTCAAGAAGTTTCATGTTTCTCAAAGCACCAAGAAGTTCAAAATTAAAATAACAAAGTAATTCAATATTTATATAAAAAAATGATCCCTCTATCCCATAATATAAGAACGTTTTTGACACTAGCACTAGTGTCAAAAACCCTAGAAGTTCAATTTGAAATAACCGAGAAGGTCAAAGAACCTAGAAGTTCAAATTTAAAAACTTAGAAAGTTGTTTACTTATTTAAAACCATATTTTTTTCTAAGAAGTTCAAAGTCAAAAAAGAGAGAAGTTCAAAGGTTAAA